ACTGCTGTCAGTATAGGTGTCGAATGGTGTAGTTCGTTACAACTCCCTCTGCGGTACCTCATTTCTGCGAAGTTCGCGTTACGTACACCAAGGCTTCCATCTCTACCTGAGGCTCTGCATGGGTGACTGCAATGTTTACGAGCCATGCTTATCAGAGGAAGCCATTTCATGTTGATTTTGTAGAACGATCCTTTCAGCCTTCCGTCTCAGTGCTTTTAACAATATTTGATGATTATCAGTACTTTGTAGAACATTTCGACCAACATAATTTGTAGTCGTCTTCAAACACGCTTTTATTACGTTGAACAAATAAAGGAGGATGGCGTACATTGGACATGTAGCACGCACGGCGGAAAATAATTATGCACTGTTAACAAAAAAACTATTTGGGTTTAAGAGAGACAGAAATAAAACAGGAGGAAAAGAAGTTTCGATTTTGAACTTTTTACCAAATATTAGTAGGGAGATTGAATCAAGGAGGGCAAGATTGTCGGGACACACAGAATTCGCTAAGAACAGATAAATTTATACAGTTTAAAATTTTAATTGATTACCCATCAACATACACATTTAGCCTTACGGGAAGATACAATTTCTTGACACAGACGTAAAATGAGTCTCTACAGAAAACACGACCAATAGAATATAGGCTCCATTCCCTTTGTTGTCAGCCTGCGATTTTATAAGTTTGCTATAATTACAGCTTAAGTTGGATTAAGTTGTTGGTTGTGACACAGTGTGTTCTTCTTGGTGGCTACGACGTTCGGTAAAACGTCCACTTTGTGTAGAAGCGAATTCTCCCCTGAAGACGAAAACGAAACGTTCCCCTGATGTTGATAACCAAATACATACACTGGACCTGAACACCTTGCGTATTTACCTATGGGGTCAATTGAAATCCCTGGTGTACGCAACGCCACTTAACACACAGCAGAAGCTATAGCAACGTGTGTGGGTTGCTTATAACACGGTTAAAAGAAGCCCTGTTGTGTTCGATTGTGTTCTTCAGTCCGCTGTTCGTAGTGCTCGGGCATGTTTGGAGGTGGAAAGAACGAATTCTGAACACCTCTTGCAAAATCTCAAATTAGATACTTCGTAATAAACACTTTGTAACAGGAATGTGTGTTCTCCATTCAGTTATAATATCTAGGTAAGGAAGCATTTCCGACGCCATGTTCATAGAAACTTTTTTTATTGTTTTGGTTACCAGAACCTGCCCTTAAATTTTCCAGACATACTTTTGACTCATTCTGTATAAAGTACAAAGAAGTTGAAGTGGAAAGGCATGTTTTTCGTTCCAAATGTCATAAAATTTCGTAAATTTTTCCGAAATTTGTTTTGGAGGGGCATACACTGTCATGAGACTAAGACTCACAAATATAAAATCATGCATACAAATAAAACTGTTTACACTTTGATACACTGCGCGGTATGCAAGCCTTTATGATCAAGACTTACAAAGCAAGTGCAATCCTTGTTGCCCAGCCATTTTACGTAAAACACAACCGATGTACTTTGTAATGAAAATCGTAGATCTGAAACAAAATTACATACATAAAATTATCCAACACAAAATTGTTCAGCACTGTATAAAGAACCAAATAATAGTGGTGATGTGATGGAAAATAGTTAAATAATGACAGGACTATTTTGTGATGATTACAGTAGCTTTTTAGATAAGCAAGTTCAGAATTAAATTTCTGCACTTTAGCACTCTCTACTGGTGGAACCATTAAACAGAAACATTCTCCATGGTATGTAGAACTCGATACAGCCAACTGTAATATGTTACAGTCCAGACAATGGGGCGTTCTTACGTGCACCGCGACACTGCAATTAGCTGTTTAAGATACGCCCATATTTACTTATAAAATAAGAAAATCGGTCTATATACTTACATGCATACACGTTGTTGTGTCCCATCTCGTTCGTTGAAATTATTCTCGCTACTGCCTCTAAATGCTGCAGAAGCACTAAAAATGTCACGTTATTATTCAACAGAAACTTCTAGAACAGTCTACAAAGAAGTCATAACGCAGATGTTTCGACATTAACTTTATTACGCATTTAATTAACACATGAGAAGTTTGTATGAAATTAAATACTGAGGGCAGCGATTCCTAAACTGCGAAACATTTGTTATATTCTGCCTTCATTCTGTTTGCGCCTACGTGATTGAGTCAATTCGATAAAAGTCTAACGAAATTAGTTATCCTTGACGTTGTTGGTCTTCTGTATTGTAACGTCGTGGGGACTTGCAGTGTGCCTCAGCACAGACGTTTAAAATATGAGATCTAAGGTTCTCACGGCGAAAATATATCGATTTAGGCGTTACAGCCCAGAATACCAATGTCGACATCTTCACTACCGTAAGAAAATCAATCTCATATAATCTTAGTTCATTACAGTTTCTTAATTTATACGGGAAATTGGGACATGGATAAAAGGTAATAATTACACACTGTATTTTATTAGGACAGAGCTGAATTTGGTAAGTACTGCAGATCATTATAGCCCTTTCCTTGTATTCCCCGTTTTTTACAGTAAATTATTATGCTTTTACGCTGTGTCATTTTCGATAGTGGAGTAAAATATTATTCTCTCAATGGCGCTGGGATAGCTGTCAATGTGGTGGCTAGGTTTCGCGTTCGTCGACTGGGTTTAGACTGCCGACAATGAAGGTGATAGTTCTCTTTACTACCGCTTGCAGATCGACTCTGGGGAGCTCTTTCGGCGAAGGTGAAGCAATCCACTACCATCTAGTGCCAAGTGGAGCTATACCTTTATTCCTCTTTAGCCTACGACCTAAACAGGTCGATTGGCATGAATAAGGAGTTTTATAATTTGCTATCTAAATCAAACATTAATGCGGCCAAATGAAATGTAGTAACGAAAATAAAATACTATGATAATACGATGTCTTTAAACATCACACGACATTGCCTTCTACTTTCTGCCCAGCTTAGTATAACAAGAAAGCACGTGCTTTCTCTTTGGAGGACAGAAAACCAATTTAGGTGTCAAGCAGTAGACCTATTTATAGAACCACAGACTTTTGTATATGCATTCATATGCTGTTATTCATTTACTTCAGTTGATGGCAATGCATCAAGTCATATATTTCGAAGTGTGACGTAAGAGATGAAAATGTTTGAACATGAATCGTTACTTATGATTCATCACACATTTTCACAACGAAGAAAGACGTAAACATCAAATTCAGGCTACAATAACTCAGCTACTGCCATCTATAGGTTCTGTTACGCACTAATAATCACCCAAGGTCGGTCACAACCGACAGAAGAACCGATAATAAGGGGGAGTGTGGTATAATGACTGCTATTGGCACAGCATCGGACCGTGTGAAAAGAGGAACTAGTTAGCAGATACTTAAGAAGGTAACAAACGGCTACAAAAACATGAAATGGGATATAAAGGCGTTCAGCTTCTGCTGTTATCATGTGACTACACGTATTCTCTGACGTTAGATCAATAACGGAAAAGTGTATCAACAATGTTCTATACATACAAATAAAATAATTCTTCGGTTGTTCTGGATACTGCGATGGATTTGATCTTAAATATCAACTCATTTTATACATAGTTGATGGCCGCCCAAAACGCTCATTGTAAATACTTTTCCACTCTCCTCTGAATCCTTTCACCGATTCGGAAAATTCCATCTGTCTCGCATAGTTTTATTAATACTGAACTATCATTCTTCGTAAAATTTCACTTAATTTCACACCCTTTGATCACCAGGACCAAAGATTGTTTGTTGTTCTTTGGTGCATTGTGTCAATTGTGCAGCATTCTAAAATGTGTCACTCAACCGAAAATTAAAACAAACAGCGTAAGTGGAAATGAGAGAAGGGTTACGTTTATATCCGCTACCTTCGGCAGTGCAACCAATATCACTTTTTAAATGAAAAAAATTGCCTCGATTGGCATACAGAGAAAAATAAACAAGCATATACCATTTAGGTCATATTAATATAGTTCTTCCTTTAAAAAATTAACATGGTTTTTGATAAACAGTAATTATGACTCATTGTAAGCCTCTTTCTAAGCACGTACTCATAAGATATCTCCGAGGGTCGTTGACCTTTGCAAACGCACGCGCTGAAGATAAGCCCGCCGATGGCCGCGGTGGGAGGGAAAGCCACACGTGACGATACGTCTCGCTCCTCCCTTTCCCTTTTCACCATTCCATCCCTTCTCTCTGTGACTCAGCTCTCGCAGACTCGCGTCCAGCGTAATGTAGCGTACTGTACCCTTATCTCGCTTGTTTTGCAAAATTTCCGTGTCCAGCTGAATCAGATATCCATAGATTCTTATACTTTAAAGCGGAACTAGCCTTTAAGCTGATTGTGCAACATGTAACACATTATTGAAACCTAATAAATAATACATGTATCGCGCCGTAGCCGCGCGGTCTGAGGCTTCCTGCTTCGGACCGGCGATACGGAATGCGCGCTGGTTCGAGTCTCGGGGAGAAGAAATTTTCTCATGAGCTTTCGACCGGTGCCAACCCAGCATCGTGAGGAAATTGGGGAGCTACAATGAGTAGCGTAACCCGGTCAGGAAAACTATCAATGGCTGGGGGTTCGTCGTGCTGACCACACGTCACCCTATATCTGGTTGGATGATCGTTCACCTCTGCTTAGGCATGTGAACGTGAGGCCAGCAGTCAAGTTAGTCGCCTTAGGCTCTCTGGAGCTGTTACGCCACGGATTTAATTTAATTAACCTAAAGATGTACAAAATGCAGATTTTTTGCAGCGCAGAATTAGAACTCAAAGGAAGGTTATCGATCAGAATCAAAAGAGACAAAACAATCTGTGGGTGTGGTTCGTGTTTGGACACTACACAATAAGAGACGTAGAGCCTCTTACATAGCCGGAAGTGGAATACGAACTGTGTATCTCCAGGAATCGAATGTGTAATGGAAGTAGTTTCAAGAAAACAAAAGGACTGGACGCGCTTGAATGAGATGCAAAATAAGTGAACGCAGTTGTTTTTATGAATCATTTGGTCCAGTATAGGGTCCATTTATAATTAATTAGCGACTAATGTGTTCTAGTGAGCTGTTGGGTTGTGACGATGTGCAGGTGGTGACCAACGTTTGGGAGAAACGTATCGCCTCAGTTTCAGGTTTCAAGATAGACGCGATTCAACACTCAAGATCACAATTGAAATCTTCGCCGCCGTTAGCACAAGAAATCACACGGTATTAAAGATATGGGTTCCATAAAAGTCGGCGACTATTTTGACTAAATGAGGGTCTGTCAGCTGGAATAGCGGTTCTCTTTTTAGTTGCACTGACTATCTCGACCAATGAAGATTGCTATTAAATTGGCCGATGTTTCAGAGGTGCCTACTACTTCCATTATCAGGGTGATGAGCAGTTAACACTTCTGAATCGTCGGTCAGTTTTTACGAGAATACAAATCGCAACATCGCAGAAAACTAACTTCATGTTCACCGCCGTGAAACCTGAAATTTCACTTAATCTCGACTTATCTTTCTCGAGGATTTCCTCAGTAGTAGTTAGTGACCACCAGGTTTAAACCGGTAGTTTAAAGTAGATAAGAGTCATATCTTCCATAATCGTTGATAGTTCATTAGTCGTCACCATCCTACGACAAAATGGCACAAACCTCACAAATGGAATCATATATCGAGTGTCACAGAAACGCGTAGAAGTTTTGTATGGGGGAAAAGTAGTGAGTTTCGACGACCTAGTGGAACACTGCACATGTAGTTGGCTTAAAAATACCTCTGAGCTTCGTTGACCGTTACCGCGAAGCGATGACACATACCAGATATAACTCAATCCCTCCTTGTACCATCGGATGTGAAATTATTACGTTTAGACTATGGAAATAGAGCGTGCGGATAAAGGCCTGTGTCTGTATTACTAGTTATTTTATAGTTCCTTTGGTTCACAAATTACAGTGCAGTGCAAGATTCATTGTATGCTCTGTCGACATTCAAAGAGGAAAAATGCTTCCAGCTACATTTTCATGCTCAGGTAGACTCTTTCGTTTTGATCCCCCTTGCCCTTTCTATCTTACCCTCATTTAATGTAGCTCAAGCTCAGATTTATTTTGCGACCACTGTCGCGAGTTCTGCCGTTGTGATGTCACACAGCCGTGCTTTGGTACTTCAGGTCAGGTGGTGCCCACCGTGAACTTCAACTGCAGAAGCACAATGAGGTACGTCACCAGCGTCGAACCTAACTGAAAGAGCATAGCACAAACAAACACCAGATGTAGCACACCTTCATGACACAATGTATTAATTAATTTAGTGACGCTGTCAGTAGCTCAAATCATGTCTCTTAGTAATATAATTCAATTCAATTCATTTATTATAATATATTTTTATTCAGAACTATTTACAGAGATCTGTGGCCGCCTAACACCAGGTTTTCACGACCACAGTCCTTACATCATCGTTCATCGCCCTGATGACGGAGGCAGTATGACCTCTGAAACGTTGGTTCACATCGACCAGACTACACAGCGCAACAACCCAGAAGACAGAAATCTTCAGTCCTTACATATGTAGCACTATTAGCACTTTTTCTTACTACAAATATTCCCGAATGCTATTCTACATAACTATTCTTTATTCCCTAATACTATTTACATAACTATTCCTCCTATTCCTTAATACTATTTGCATAACTATTTCTTATTTACCCCGTGTCTGCTATCCCAGTGGCAGTTCTAAATCCCTAATTTTGACCTGTCTTTTACATCTTACTTTGTACAGAAACTTCCCTACATCCCTGACCTCCGTGTCATTCGTAGTGCTAACCCCAATTTATCTAATTCCTCTTTTACCCCCTTAGCCCATCCCCCAATTTTCAAGTTCCTTATCTGCCAGTCGTAACATCCCCTTACTAAATCCTCCCTGTCCATTTCCAAAATCCGTAACCAAAATTTTGTGACCAACCCTAAAACCTTGTTCCTCCTGCTGTCTCTCAGTTCCACCTCGGCTACCCCATTTGCTGCAACCCTTGGTATCCCTAGGACCTTCTTGCAAAATCTCCCGTGGATTATATCAACTTCTTTCCATCCCTCCTCTAATCCCCATATTTCCGCCCCTTACATCATTCTCGATTCACATATCGTTTCGTATACATTTTGTAATATATTTATCCTCATATGTGGCATTCTGGCTAAGCACTTGTCTATCGCCACTAAGGCCTGTTTCCCTTTTGCCGCCACTTAGCCTTTTGTTTAGTCCACCCTCCTGTGATTTCTAGGGTCACACCCATGTAGCATATTTCCTTTACTGTTTCTATTCTTTCACCATTCATGAACCACCTCTCATTCTTTTTCAATTTCCCTCCCCTCTTGCACACCAAGACTTTCGTCTTCTTCAAGTTCCATTCCATGCAGTATAATACTTTACCACATGGTCAATCCCCTTCTGCAAGCCGTTCACGGAAACGACCCAAATGATAGGTCATCTGCAAACAACAACCCCGGGATTGATTCATCCCTTATCACAGATGTATGTACGTTGCCTTCCCTAATATAATCGATAATATCATCAATGAAAATATTAAACAGATAGGGGCTCAGACTGCATCCTTGCCTAACACCTCTCCTTTGTTCTACCAAGTCCGTCACTTCGTTTTCTCCACACTTTACACAAAATTTGATTCCCTCATACATTCTCTTGATACAATCCACCATTCCCTCACTCACTCCCTTCCGTCTCATTTTAAACCACAAGGCCTTCCTATCAATAGAAATAATCTATCGTTTCTAAAGTCCATATCTAATTCTGTACACTACTGGGCTCAGAGGAAGCGAGAAGTGTTTGTAGTACTCCTAGATCAAAATCTTGTATAGATATGGTGTTTGCACGAAATGTTGATACTCTGAAGTGTACAACTTTTATTACATATTTCGGCTACCAAAGACCCATCTTAAGCGTAACTAATTCAAATTAAATAAGCAATGTCTTAATCAAACTATTTACTCAATTGTAAAGCATGTATAAAGGAAATATTTAGAATAAGGCTAATATGTAAACTTCCTTTCATTGTATTTATTGCTTAAATAAAATTTGAATACAAAGACGTATTTACGTCAGATTCGCCGGAACCGTGGTTCCACTGTCGATTTTTACTTGGATAAAAGTAAGTAAATAAATTTGTAAACAGTGAGATTTGAGATTTTCACGGCAGTGAGACCGAAGAGGGCTATCTTTTGGGTTGTAACGCTCTGTCGTCTGGTAAACTTCTACCAGATTATGGCGCTACAGCCCAGAAGACAACCATCTTCAAATATGTAAATAAGTAACCAAATTCATGCAGGAGAGTCAACCTTGGGAAGCTACGAGTCGCTCAGCTAACAAAGAAATTTCGTGTTTTTTTATGGTACCAAAAGTTTCGCTTGCTCACAAGAACTCGCCACTGGCCCCTGTCTTAAATGAGTGAATTCTGTCCACACCCATTCACTCCACAATCGACTTCGGTGTTATCCTCTTTTCTTTCCTTGATGTCATCGAACCAAAATTACGTATGAATTTCTCATCTTAACTTGTGTGCTACGTGACCTTTTCATCTCATCCTTCTCTATTTGACCGCCTTACTATTTGATGTTCTTTACAAAAAAATAAGTAATTCGCTATTTAATTCTTTGCCAACCGGTAAACAGTAGCCGATATGTACTCGCGTCTGTCATGTTGACTACAAGGCCTCACACATTAGTGATTATTGATTTTCTTCAAATGTTCTAATTTCAGCAGAATTTCGATAATGTGAATGATATTCTGGAAAAAGCACGATGTACGAAAGGCTAACATTAAATTGTGACACTTCAGGTTCTTATGGTGGAAAGTATGAATGTAGCTGTCTTCTGGAATGTTGCGCCGCGTAGTCTGTAAGACTCATCGCCCTGAAAATGGAGGCACAAGAACCTCTGAGCTGTCGGTCGAAACATCCCAGAAGACATTGCATCGAATTCTTTAATCAATGCAAAGCGAACAGAATTAGTATATTCATCATCATCATCAACAACAACATCAAATCACGAATTTAGGCCAGGGGTTGGCCTGTTTCGGTCTGAACATTGACACCATCCAGCAGTTAGGTCTAAATAGTATATTAATGCATAAAATTTCAGTACGTTCGAACTTACATCAGACATGAGGGATCAAATAATAATAGAGCATTTTTCAGTGTTTGATATTTTAGGCATGCGATAAATATGTCATGTTAGCATTTAAAGTTTATAACATACCATGATATGTTTCTGTACTGAGTTTTGATACTGCAAACTTTAAATTAGCAAAAGGAACGGTTTTTAAATTAATGTTACATAAATGTGTAGCTCCAATGGACTAGCTTCTAGTGTCATAACGCCTGCAGGAAACCAATTCGACTTTTCGCAGAACAACAGAACAGAAGAAGTTGCCGATCCATCTAGGCAAAGCCGTAACTTACTCGCGTATTCTCTTTGGTTCAGCCTCTCCAGGGCCTGTTCAGAGTTTGAAAACTGATCGGTCCATCTTATTCCAGGCCTCCGAAAAGGTATCCTTCTTTAAAACCTCTATAATAGTGAAGATAGCTGTCTTCTGGGTTGTTGCGCCTTGTAGTCTGGTAGAAGTTTACCGACGTTTCAGAGGTCCATGCTGCCTCCAACATCAGGACGATGAGTACTCATCGCCCAAACATCCCATAACACCTAGCAACGCCCAAAAATTATCCTCTTCCCCAAACATATTAAATGTAACAATTTAATGTTTCTGCTCTAGAAAATAATCGCCAACGTCACTGCGAACTTTGTATCCAGTGAAGACAAACGCAGTCCATCAGTCGTTTGCATTATAAGTTCGTTCATATAATGAATGTAGACACTTCTGCTATTAGAAAATGCAGGGGATATATAGACAGTGTGAAATATTATAATCGTAATTATCACCACCACTTCTAGTAAGGTTGCAGGTTCACGCATCGATTAATAGGGGAGAATGAGCAAATGGTGGGCACTTAAGAGAAAAGCTACTTCCTTCTTTATTACGCCGTCTTCTTTACAGGAGGTTGGCGAAATATTATGAACAGGATCCGTCCATCCTTTTCTCAGACTGGGCTGGTGATACAGAAGTGGTTTGCCATTCCCTTCTTCTGTGTGTGAATGGAGTAATTGTTGGGATGCCACGGAGAAACCGGGGAAGCCCCGGAGGAAAATTCCGTGTAGCCTAGACCACGGCCTTGCCCAACACAAGTTATAAATTGGGGCACTGCCGGGAATCGAACCCGGGACCAGCGTTCTAACCGCTAGACCACCGTGGCGGTTAAGAGAACAACTAGATAAAACGAACACCAGAATCATTTGAACGTACAAATTCTAACGGAATGTTAAGATAGATGTCTTCAATAACCTTTTTCACTTTTTGACGTAAATATGTCTATAAGGAAGGGTCATTCGGCAAAAAATGGGAACGAAAAAGGAAAACTAAAAAGTGTAACCTGGTTACCTAGGAAACGTCGTGTTTACATTTCATTACATTACATTCAGCTACCACAGACCCATCTTAAGCGTAACTAATTCAAGTTAAATAAGCAATATCTTAATCAAACTTTACTCAGTTGTAAAGCATGTATAAAGGAAATATTTAGAATAAAGCTAATATATAAACTCCCTTTCCGTATTTACGTCAAATTCTCCGGAACCATGGTTCCACTGTCAAATTTTGTTTCTTCTTCTCAAACACAGATCACAAAGATATCCATCCGTAAATTCCCAGCCACTGTATTCTGCATGTGCTCAGATACCACAGCCTGTGCATCTACACCAGAGTTCTCCGTCTTTCTCAAATTCTTCACAAATGAAACATTTTTCACAATCTATTTCTATGTCATCCTCTTCATTTTCGTCAAGAATATTTTGATCGTTTATGTCGGTGTCCTCTTCTGATGAAGTGAAGTCTACCTTTCCTTCAGATTCTTCCTGCAGCGTTTCTTTCTCTCTTGGAGGCTTGTTTCCTTATTTTGCATTTTCTTTGGAAATATTGATGTTTGCCTACTTTTACTTGCATTTCTCTTTAATGCCTAGCTTTCTAAAGGACCCTTCTTGGGTGTCCCTGTCAGAATCTCCGAGTGCTGCTTGCCTCTGCTTTTTCTGCAATTTGTCCGTGGACCCACCGTAGGTAATGGAGATCCTTGACCGCCATTACCCCAAACGCGTAACCTCAAACGTAAGGCGCATTGCCATGAAATAGCACATCTACGCAGTTATAACATCCAACTCTCACATGTTATGTACACCCACAAGAAAAACTCAGATATTTCAATGTAAAGTATTAGATCTCAGGAGCACAAAACAGACAAATGCAACTATCTCGGTAACTGCACCAGAAACAAATGGCGGAATTCGCTGTAGAGCGTCACTGAATCAAGCTCTGGATGTTAGCATCAGCTTGAAGCTTCTATCTGGTACCGTTCGTCGGAAAAGTGCCTGACCGGCATTACCCACTGACCACCATTCCCCCATCCTCCCCTATGTGCCGTGGGATGTTGCGCTGGTAGATATCAACCAGATCATTTCCGGTAAATATCCATCAGAGAACGCCACACAACTTCTCAGAAGACAACAATGCTCAACGACGTTCCAGTCAGAATCATACCGACTCTTTTTAAGATCTTCATAATAATAGCCTCGCTAACTTAAAACAATTTGCTAATTCTCATGTCTCTTACGCCTATAGTTTTCACAGTTTACACCAAATTTATTAAACTTAAAATCTTGCATTCAGTGCAGCGTTGAATATTTATTTCAAATATATAAAGTCATGCATTCAAACAAAACTGTTTACACTGTTCACAATTCAGGCACAGACAACGCAACCACGGCTCACCGTAGACCAACAACGAAAACCTAAACTTAGGCCACTGGACACTGAGCTAAGTTGCTCAATTTGGATAATACGCAAATTCATGTGCAATTAAACGTTCAGTGTGGTATTACATGAAGTATTGTTTAATAAAGTGCGACATTTTATGTTTAGTGTTTTATAACAAATCATCGTTTTATGAATTGTATGTTTTTAATGGATTAATGTTTTTCCACTGATGACGACCTATTGAGGTTGAAACACATTTGGCACTAAGTGTTTTTAAAGTGTAAACAGTTTTGTTTGTATGCATGATTTTATATATTTCAGACAAATACCAAATTTATTAGCAATATATTACCTACATTAATTGTTTTGTATGGATTTAGATTTTGGTCTCTCACCGAAGTGTGAAAATGTCCAACAGCAATGTAGTAAGAAGAAGTCTGAAGATTTCTGTCTTCTGGGTTGTTGCGCTGTGTAGTCTGATAGATGTTTACCAACGTTTCAGAGGTCATACTGCCTCCGTCATCAGGG